TTTAATCTTACCAAGGAGCTGCTTCAGGTCCAAAGTTGCTGCCCACTCCCCAATATCATCAAACCCCGCTGCGTTAGCGTCAGCCAAAACCCATTCCTTTGCTTCCCCGCCAAGACAAGAAGTAGAGAAAGCAACTTGGGACTCGGGTTGAACAGGGGTCGTACCACAATATGTCTGAATCTCGGCAATCCACAACAACAAATTTTCACCCTTGCTATTGCTGAATGTGAAAGGCAATTTCATCTTGACTTTTTCCTTCTTTTTAGCTTTCTTAGGCTGTGTGGTGGTGTCCCTTTTTCCTTCTGTAGACTTCGGCGGATTCGAACGCTCTCCTTTTTCTTCCGTTTTTTTTTCTTTCGGTTTCTGAGTCGCTCCATTGAGAAACTTAATAGCATCTCCCATCAATTTCTTTGGTTTTTCTTCTTGTTCTGTTTTGACTTCCTCAACCACCTGATGCTTTCCTTTGACCAGATTGGTGATTGTTCGTAGTCCTGCAGCCACATCATCAATCTGTGCCTGCATCTGTTCTCCGTATTGATCAATTTTCATCTTAAGGTGAGCTACGTAGGTCACAAGTTAAGCCAAAAATATTTATTGATCCTCTCCTTCGGTCTTGATAACAGTTTGTCTGATTTCTTTTCTTCTTTCCTTTTCTTCTCCTTCTCAAGTGCTTCCTCTAGTTGTCTGATATTTCCATCCACAATTTTTTCAGACACAATTATTTCTCTCTCTTCTTTACGATCTACAATCCTTCCAAGCTGCTCAATGATATACTAATCTTCTTGACAACACTTGATTAGTACATCCTGAACCCGTGGTCAATGAGATGATTAGCCTGGCACAACAATCCAAAAGTAATGTCGCTTTCATCTTCATTGACTTTGAAAAAGCTTACGACCATGTTGACTGGCTGTTTTTGGACAGATGTCTAGAAATACTAAATTTTGGAATGGACTTTAGGAGGTGGGTGGACATTTTACACCAGAACGAAACCACGAGGGTGCAGATAAATGGGTCTCTGACTCCATAAATAAAGCTGCAACGCTCGGTGAGACAAAGTGACTCCATTGCCCCCTTCCTTTTCATCATCATAATGGAAGCATTGGCAGCCAACCTCCGGCAGAGCAAAGATCTAGCAAGAATCCGGGTAGCCGGCATCCCTGAGGAGGCGATTCCGGTCTGCTCTTTGTTCGCAGATGACCTCACAATCATGCTTGATGCCACACAGAAGAATATGGAGGAAATTCAAAGGTTGATGGACTGGTTCTGCACCCTCTCTAACATGGTTGCTAACTAGGGGCAGAAAACGTTAGGATGGTGGCTGCATCACCAAGGGGGGCACCCCCTAGAAAGACACCATGTTACGTGGGTGTCCTAGGGGACCCCAATACAGGTTTTAGGGGTCAGGATGTCAGCAGAAGGGAGGACCCCAGGAAACGATGAATGAATATCAACCTCGGCCTTCGCTAAACTCTCCCAATGGAACCACCAGAACACATCACTCTTCGGACGGGCGCTGGTTATAAACAACGTAGTTCTGGCATCCCTATGGGACAAGTCTGTTCTTTGGCCGCTGAGTGATGGTGCCCTGAAAACCTTAAAAAGGAGGGTGGCAGCCTACCTATGGAAAGGGGAGCGAAAATCCTCACGCCATCAGTCGGGTCGCATGGGACTCGGTTACCCAGCCTAAGACAAAAGGGGGGCTCGGTATATTGGACCCCCTGACCCAATCCCAGACCCTTAGTTTACAATGGATTGTGAGGTTGATCTTTGCAAACCCGCTGGTATGGAGGCCCCTGGCACTGCAGCAGATTGTCCGGCTTGCCCCCGAGACCCCCTCCACTGTCCATCCTCTCCAATGGTTAGATGACCGCTATTGGAGATTGCCACGACGCCCCCGGGGCGAAGGGAGGCAGAGAGATGATCTATGGCCTCGCCTGTTAAAAATTTGGAGGAGACTCCCACCCCCAACCAGGTGGGAAGAGGTGGCAAGACAACCCCTCTTTGGCAACCGCTGGATCTCGAACGGACAAAGCCAGATTTTCTACTATTCTGACGTCCAATGGAAAGGATGGGTGAAGAATGGGGTAACCCGGGTGAGAGATCTGTGGGACGCCGAGAATAAGGATTGGAAGGGCCCGGAGGAGATGAAGGAGAAGCTGAGATACTGTCATAATACAGAATCAGCATTGGAGGAGATCACGGAAGCCCTATCGGTGGGATGGCGGCTCATTTTGCGCAAAGGTCCACGGCTGCAGGAGGAGGACTGGGTGTCTAAGGACGGGTGGACTAACATAGTCGGTCTAGTCCACCTGGTACGACCGGAAGACGCGTTGATCGAATGACATAACATAAAGCATGGGGGGCAATTAGTTGGAAATCGGGACCCTCTCCAATGGACATCGAAAGTGGTCCTATACAGAATTAGGATCATAGGGGAAGGGGAGAATCGACGGGCGTTTATGCCCGAGATCGCCGTGCAAGACCTACCCGTAGACCCACTCCAACCAAGATACACGACATAACTCAACACAGTCAAACTCTAAGGCACTGACAGATCTCTCAGTAAGAGCTACTTACAGAAAGATCAGAACCAAACGGTGTCTGAAAGAGGTTGTGATTGACAAATGGCAGAGGCACCTTAATGTGGAAAGACAGCTCCTCACGCCAATTCGATGGTTCTGCGACACCAAGTGCAGACCTGCCAAAATTACGCCCCTGCAATGGCAGATACTGCATCGTTGCTTACCAACAAACGATTGGTTAATCGATCACTCGCACCTGGAACAGCAGGGTCGGGCCCTCCCTTGGTGTAATCGCTGTTTGTCGGGCTTCCCAGCAAAGAAGAGAGCAGAAACAATAGAACACATTTTTTTGCAATGCCCGACAGCAATCCTCACCTGGAGATGGTGGGATAGGGTGTGGCAGCAAATAGGCCCCGGACAGCGATGGTCATGGGATTGGCGTGCCATCCTCACAGGCCACTAACCGCCTCTCCAGGGGGACTCTTTTGCCTGGAACATGTTCCACCTGGGTAGAAGAACGGTCCTATGGGTGTTATGGTGGCAACGCTGTGCTCTGGTGTTTGACCAAGTTCGAGTCGAGGGAGAGGAGAGGATCGAACAATTTAAACAACATATTCAAATGGAACTTGAGTACAGATGGAAATCAGTCAAACTCAACCTTGATTCCCTCCACATGCCAAAAGACATTGTGGAAAGGATAAAGCAGTTCTCCAAGGAATGGCTAGGAGGAGATCGAGAGGGGTGGGTAGCGGAGGTGAGCTGGTCAGGGGACTGGAATGGTAGTGAGGATGGGGAGGATGGGGAGGAAGGACAAGGAAGGATGAGGGTACCGGTCTCACTGTCGGGCCGTAGGGGTACCGCTACACGATCCTCGGACCTGTGAATGGATTAAGCGATACATCAAACACGCTATCCGCTGAAATAGCAGAAACCCAAAAGGAACGGCAAAGGAAACAATCCTCGATGCGGAGCAAGCTCCATGCAGGAAAACAGATGCAATGCAGACTAAGCCTCAAGCCTAATCTATGCAACAATGTCCGGTTTGAGTCGACCCAAAAAGCAGAAAAATGTTTGACATGTGTCGGCCAAGAAAGAGAAAAATGTCTGACCTATGTCGGTCAAGAAAGAGAAAATGTCTGACCTGTGTCGACAAAGAAAGAGAAAAATGTCTCCTGAACCAAAGAGGCTGAATATAAATCAACACCAGGGCCCTAAAGGCCAAAGAATAACTAAACCAATGTCCTAAGTCGAAAAAGAATGTGGCACAGTCTCACGTGCCCTGTACACAATGCACAATACCTGAACAAAAGAGAAGGGAACTCAGTCGCATGGCAGAGGTAGGAATGGGTGGGAAGGCGGCAAGTACAACTCTCAGAGTAAACTCCAAGGGGGGCACCCACATAAGTAGGTAAGGGTAATCAGGCTCAAAGGGAGAGTAACAACACGACACCGGGCTCAACAGAAACCATCAAACGGGTACCGCCAGCTGAAAGGGAGAAGGCACTCACACAAGGGAGCACACATAAGGTCAGTCTGGAAGGAGAGAGGGCTATGCCGACATAGACATATGGCCAAGGGCTGCGAGCGAAGAAAAATGTGCACTCCGGAGGAGGGCGCGCAGCATAGGGTAAGGCAGAAGGGCGGCAGACGAACACACGCACATAAACAGGGAAAATAGGGGTCATCATGCGACTGAAGGGTAAGCTCAAGGGTGCTGGATAGGTGCGAATAATGGGAACTCTGTCCGAAAAAGTGAAGTAGTCCAACTGATGAGTCTCCAGACTGAAGTCGAACCGAAGTAGTCTGGATGAAGTAGGAGTACCGCAAGAACCAAGTAGAAGTCCGGAACAATGCGACAGGTAATCTGGTACTGAGGAGAAGCACTGAGGTCGAAAGTCGAATGTAGAAGCCGAATGTAGAAGCCGAATGTAGAAGTTAAAACCAGGGGTTGTTGCATAAGTGTCCAGGAATTGTAAAAGATAGAGAGCGTATGGGGGGTATAGGTCAGTCAAGATAACGAGAAGGAAGTCGATGGGTACGCTGAGGGCGAGAGGAATTAACTACAACAACAGGCGGAACCAGATCCACAGGGGAAGGAGGACCTGAGGCGGGTACCGGTGGAGCAGGAGGACCCATCGATGGAGGAGGGGGAACGTTAGTGATCGCAGAGGTAGATGGGTCAATAGTAGAAGGACGAGAAGTAGGGGGGGAGGATGATGAAGGGAAAGGATGAGCATGATCGTAAGCACGCACGAAAGTCATAGCATGCTTCAGGTGCTCAAGAGGCTCCCAAGTAGACTCCTCGTCAGGATAACCCTTCCATCGAACGAGATACTCGAGGCGGGGAGGCTCGCCATCAGTCATACGCCGGGACGCAATATCATAGACGACAAACTCCTCCTGACCCTCAATGATGATGGGAGAGGGGCGAGGGCAAGGTCGACCGTGGAACTCGGGAGGAGACCGTCTGAAGGGGCGCAAAAGAGATACATGGAACACGTCATGTAAGTTAGCGCGGTACATGGAATCGGGGAGCTTCAATTTGAAGCTCACCGGGCAGTCATGATTGGGTCCGGCGGGTGCAAGAATGGTACATGGTCCAATATATCGACGCCAGAATTTTCGAAGCGTGTCAGCTTCGGGCTGGAAGTGAAGCGCGTCGACAAGAACCTCGTCGCCAACTTTGAAGGGATGATCGATGCGAGAGCGGTTAGCGCGAGTGGCCATGTGAGTCTGGGAATCAGCAATGCTCTCGCGAGCCTTGCTAAGAAGCGCATCCATCTCCTTTACCCAATCATTGAGGGCAGGGCATTTGGTGTCGGGATGGATCTGAGATGGACGGAGAAGGTCAGATGGGACACGAGGATGGTATCCCAAGTCACAGTAGTAGGGAGACATGCCAGTGGCAGGKGAAATAGCATGGTTATAAGCAATCTCTGCATGAGCAAGATGCAGACCCCAATCAGCGTCATTCTCAACAAACTTCTTGAGGATACTCCCAAGATTTTTGTTGGTGACCTCGGTCTGTCCATCTGACTGGGGGTGATAGGAGGAGGAGAGGTGGAGCTCGGAGCCATAGATCTCATGGAGTCCACGCCAGAAATGAAAAGTAAAGTGGAGATCACGATCAGAGACGATGCTAGTGGGAAGACCGTGATGGATGGCAATACGGTTGAAGTATAGGGAGGCCATGTCTTTGGCTGAACTAGCATACTTGCAAGGGAGGAAGTGAGCATGCTTAGTCAACCGACAAACAACGACGAAGATGACGTCGTGGCCTCGTAGGGTAGGGGGACGAAGAGGACCGATGAAGTCCATGGAGACAGAAGTCCGACGCTGAGTGGGAATGGGTAAGGGCTGAAGAAGACCGTAGGGGGGGTGGTTGGGAATGTTGGCCTCCTGGCAGATCCTGCAGGTGCGGACGTACTCCTTAGTGAAGTGACGACGGTGCTCCTATTAGTAATGGCGGTAAAGGCGGTCAAGTGTCTTGAAGACACGGAGATGACCGGCGGCGCGCTGGTCGTGACACTCAGCGACGGCCCGAACACGGAGCTGGCCAGTAGAGGGCACACATAAGTGAGGAGTACGGGTACCTTGGCGACCAAGCCAGTATAGGAGTTCAGAGGGATCGAGCTTGAAGTTAGGGACGGACTTGTCAGCCTGTAGGTCAGCGTAGATGGACTGAAACTCAGGGCACTGGGTGTATGCGCGGCGGTACTCATCCAGAAAGGCGGGGTGGATGGTGGGAGCTGAAATAGCAGACAGCTGACGATCCTCGCACTGAAGGTCGGGCCGGCGGGATAAGGCATCTGCTACGCGATTGCTTTCGCCGGAAATCTGCTTGATGGTGAAATCGAACTCGGAGAGGTCACGTCACCAACGAGCCTGACGAGAAGTGAGCTTAGGCTTCGTCTGGAAGGCGGCGAGGACAAAGTTGTCCGTCAAAACGGTAAAAGTGTGACCGTGCAAGTGATGACGCCACTTCTTAACAGCGTAGACCAACGCAAGGACCTCGCGCTCGTCGGCAGTATAGTTACGCTCAGCGGGAAGTAGCTGTCGACATAGATAAGCAACCGAACACTCTCCATCGCGAGACTCGACTGTACCATCATCAACGACGTCAATAATATAAGGGGGTGGGCGGGATGGGTGTAAGATGAGCCGCAGTTGCTGGAGGTGGAGGAGGGAAGTGAGGGATGCGAGGGAGGCGGGACTCTGTGGAATCGGGAGAAGTAGAAGGGGTTGGGTAGATTTGGGAGAGAACAGCTCCAATAGCGAAGTCGGACGCATCGGTGGTGACGATGAATGGACGCGAGTAGTCGGGTAAGTGTAAGATAGGAGCTGACGTGACAAGTCGCTTAAGAGAGCGGAAGGCATCGTCATGAGTCGGGGTGTAATGAAAAGGGAGACGTCCGCGGGTCAGAGGGTTAAGCTGGGAAGAATACTGCGCGTAGTTTTTGAGAAAGGGACCATAGTAGTTGGTCAAACCAAGAAAACTACGCAGGACGGGGAGAGATGTAGGGGTAGGCCAATCGACGATGGCCTGGATCTTCGAGTCGTCCATGTGGAGGCCGTGCTCGGCTACTTGATGCCCGAGGAAGCCGACTTTGGGTTGAGCAAAGCTGCATTTGGAAACTTTGCATAGAACCCGTGGTCACGTAGTCGCTGCAGGACAGTGTGAAGGTGGATCAGATGCTCCTCTAAGGTACGACTGTAGATCAGGATGTCATCAATATAGACTAGAACAGAGTCCTCAAGGAGGTCTTGGAACATCGTGTTCATAGCCGTCTGGAAAGTGGTGGGGGCATTACGGAGACCGAAAGGCATGACGATAAACTCATAGTGCCCAAAACGAGAACGAAAAGCGGTCTTGGGCTGGTCCTCCTCGGCTATGCGGATTTGGTGATATCCGCTACGAAGATCGATCTTCGTGAAGAAATGGTGATCGGTAAGGCAGTCAAACAGATCATCCACGCGAGGCATGGGATAGTGGTTTTTGACCGTGTAGCGGTTGAGACCGCGGTAGTCAATACAGAGATGAAGGGTGTCGTCCTTCTTGTGATCGAAGAGGACCGGGGCACTCCATGGGGAAGTACTCGGTTTAATGAAGCCCTGACCAAGCAGCTCCTCAAGTTGGCGCTTGAGTTCCTGGGCTTCGGGAACCGAAAGGTGATATGGGGCACGATTCTTAATGCGATAGTTGGGCTCGAGCTGGATGTGGTGCTCGATATCGCGCATGGGAGGGATACTGATGTAGGAGACGGATGGTGGGAAAGCATCACGATACTCGCGAAGGACGGCACCAACGCTAGACGGCAAGGAAGAGAGAAGGGTGTCAAATTCCTTGGCAGCGACGGCGTCTGAAGCAGAGGTGGAGGGAGTCTGTGTGGAGGTAGGGAGTGAGGGTGTATCCGTGGTAAGGGAAGCGAGGAAGTGAGATGGGCTAGCAGGAGTAGAGGAGGGTAAGGAAGTTGAGGAATCATGAGGGTCGGGGGGCTCGGGAGGTGGTGGATCGAGCTCGACCAACTCAACATCCTTATGCATTGAGTCGCAAGTAAGGAGATCCGTGATGTCGACAACATAAAGTTCTACATCAGGCTGACGAAGGAAGTGGTGGAACTGGGTAGGTGTACAAATGGTGGCATTAACAGGGGGGGNGGTGGCATTAACAGGGGGGGGGGGGGGGGTAGAGCCCGATTTGCCCAACAACCGAATACGGTATTGCTTCCCATCCTTGGCGTCGAGGACGAGATCGTTGTGGGTCCAATCGGGGCCGGCATGGGCGAACTGATGGGAGTAGGCAGTGCCGAGAACAAGATCGTATAGGGTTTCCATGACGTCGAAGGTCCACCGGTCATGGAACCGAGGGGCCTTGCGAAGGTTGTGGGGCATCCGCAAGGGGAAAGAAAACAGGAGATCAGGCACCACACAGTCGACAAAGGATTTGGCCTGATTGTCGCCAAGCGTGACAGTGACAGTGAAAGGGTAGGGGGACGTGTAGAGAGATGCCTCCTTAACTACGCGAGGATGAATGAAGTCGCCAGTAGAGCCAGAGTCCCATAGTGCGCGATATACTCTAGTAGAGGACCCGAGGCGCACTAGAATAATCGGTAAGGTACGATCGGGATTATGTAGGCGCTGAGACATCGCAGACAGGGTGCACTCTTTAAGGCGGAGACGTTCCTGATGGACCTTAACACACTCAAGGTCCAGGAAGTCGATGATATCCTCGGCTGCAATAAGGGAAGCACTGCAGCGGGCCGTGCGAAGAGCACGCCTGGTAGGAGGACGTGGAGGAGGGAGGTCACGAGGGGCGCTAGGCGAGGAAGGAGAAGGCATACTACTGTCGATAGGGTCACCCTAAGATAAGGTTGGACCAGAGTCATCGGGAAGAGTAACAAGCGGCGCAAAGGTAGAGTTGTGAACGGGTATGCCTGCTACCGTAGGAGAGTGAGGGGAATGGGACATCGCGGCTAGGTGGGTGTTGCGCTGGAGGTCGAGACGAGGGGAACAGCCTGAGGGCGAGCCTGCTGTGCGAAGTGACTCTGGAGAGCGTCTGCGTATGGGCACGTAGAGGAGGTATGGCCGGCGAGGCGGCAGCGGGTGCATATGCCTCGCGTACGAAGGTCCTCACTCTCAGCGACGGTCAAGCGGCTGCGAGGGAACACAAAGCCCACGAGGAGAGGTAGTTGAGGGACAGTAGAGCGAGTCCTGGAGGATGAGGGCTGACGACGGAGGAGGCCGGAAAGGGCCCGAACGAGTCGGTCGTCTTGGGAAGAGGCGTCGTTTTCTGCGGGGGACTGAGGGTCGGGTCCGTAGTCTGGGTCACTCGAAGAACCATCTGAGGCGGTGCCGTCATCAGCGCTCGACGGATCACGAAGCAAGGCATGCAAGCGACGAGAGAGGGATCGTCCAGAGCCTCTACGAGGGCCACAACGGTATGTGGAAGACTGTCGAGGATGGGAGGGGCGAGGGGCTGCAATAGCAGCGGGATGGGCAGCGGCAGGCTGAGGCGAGGGGCCGACGAGTGGGGCATAAGTGAGGTGGATGGCCCGAGCAATGTTGAAAGCCTCTGGTAGAGTGGGGATCGTATACGCCAACATCTGCAACTGGAATGGCAGGGGTAGGCCTGCGCGGAATCGCTGGATCATGGTGTCCTCTGATATGGTTGTGACGGGAATCTGAGCACGTACACGGTGAAATGCCGTGATGTATGACGCTAAAGCATTGTCGCCACCAAGACATTTGATGTCAGCCACACAGGTAATTGGGTCGAGGGTTGGCGCAGAGCGAGAAAAGTACTGTTGAAGGAAGTCGCGAAACTCATAATAAGACATGCCCTCATGTACACCACGCTGTGAGCGAAGGGCGAGGAAGTCGCACCAGGTGGAGGTTGCACGACCTGTAAAGCGAGAGGACATCTCAACGGGCCACAGTTCCGTGGCAACACCATGGTAGCGAAGTTGCTTCTCAGCAGTAGTGATCCATCCTTGGAGCTCAGAGGCCCTGCCGTCAAACTGTGGGAGGTGGTCCCATCGAAACTGTGGATCATACATCGGGGGCCAATAATGGGTAGGGAGAGGAAGAACCGATTGTGACAACAGGACAGAAGAAGTAGTGGCATCAGCAGGACCACTAGAAAGAGCGGGAAGTTGGGGCAAAGGTCCCTGACATATCGTGGTGGCTGGTGGTGGGAGCGTGAAATGCATCGCAGCGGCCTGTGTCTGATGCTGTCGATAGATGAAAGGGGCAACAGGTTGTGCCGCGAGGTGGGGAGGCAGGTGTTGACCTCCTTGGAGATGGCGGATGTGATCATGGGTCAGGGTGAGCTGGCGTTGGAACTCGGCATTTTGTGTCCTGGGTGTACGGGGGGGTGCGGGGGGGGGCGAAGGAGCGGGGGGTGATGAGGGAAGTGTCGTGGAAACTAACGTCGAGGAGGTGGCGGGACAAGATGCCATGGGTCATGAGGAGGGGGGTGCAGGGGCGAAAACCTGGGAGG